GAACACCGTGAAATATTTCTAAAAGTTTGTAAAAATTTAAATTTTGAAAATAATTTAAAAAAAAACCCAAAACTAACCTGTTTGCGATAGAGTACATATCACCATATATGATAGAAACAGAGTTAATCTTCGTATATCCATTGTTACAACCAAACAGTAATATTAACAACCGCTATAATACAGGAATGTGAATCTCGACAGCTTTCTTCATCAAATGAGCTGCCCACTCTATTTGTTTTAGTTTTAAATGGTGAGTCGAGGGTCCACCATTGTCACTTTTATAATTAATCTCAGATTTTACCCGGGCGAGTTTCTACGACGAGCGGTCATCTTTAATAATTTATCATCCATGTATTTGTTATTTACGCCATCGTGCAAGCTTTGCTGACACGCGACGTAACCCCTATGATACGTGTTATGCAAGGCGTTCAACCCACCACGGAAATCGCCACAGACAGCGGTATCATTGTTGGTTTGGTTTATTATAGCCTGGTCTGGAGGCTTCCGGATAATTTATTCAGAATTTTAATAATCCCGAACCCCAATTTATTTTCTAAATGTTAACAGTTCTGACACTTTATTTAATATATTATTATATAATGCACCTCTTTCGTTTCCCGTCGGCTCTTAGATTTATGGTTATAAAAGAATCTAGATATCACTTTCGAGTTTTATTATTATTATTATCATAGGGTTTAAAGAAGCTTATCTGACGCCATAACACCAATATTTATGTCGGGTGATTCGGGCAATTCTAGTATGGTCAGACACTGGGAGGTTCTACCCAAGGGGCGTCAACCAGGGTCCCCAATATTAAAGGGGCCATACGAAAAACATTGCAAATGTTTGGTTTAAAAAAAAAATCATAAAAAAACCCATTTAGTTTGATTATGTGTCAATTATTTAAAGTTTGCACTGGTTTCTACAGATTCAACAGGACAATCTTTATGTGTCTTAGTTAAATGTACTTATAATAAGTTTTCGTACAATTCTTCTTTTTTAAAAAAAAAAACTACTTTAGTAATTTATACAATTAAATCAAAATATTTAAATTTAAAACTGCTGTCGTAAAAACCCCTGTTATAATTTTGTAATTAATTAAACATACATTATGCAAGAGCTAAATCTGCCTATTGCAGGTCTTTCTTTAGGCCTGAAATGTTATCTAAATTATTATTTAGACATTAATTAACTTATCCAGACCATAATCAACTCTCGATGGCAACACTGACCTGCGACGTTTGTTGGATTAGGTTCCAATTCGCTGTTCGACTTCCATTCATAATTAAATCATGAAATGGATAATCGAGACTGTGTTTTTTTATCCTATCGACTTTAGTAATGATGATCGCGGCTAGGCTGAGAATTCAATCGCTAAAATCTTGCTTCATAGTGGATCAATTTGACTGAAATTATCAGCAAATGCCCTTTACAGTACCTAGTTTTTAATTATTACAGTGAGAACTGTCAGCTGTTTATCTTCCATAATGTATCTTTAACTGAATTCGATTGTAATACAAAACTATTACAGGACTTTTTACATTGAAATATTTTGACTTAATTAGACAATTACTATCGAGTGTTTTTACATTTGAAATACTAACGAGTTTTTTTTTTTTACATTTGATATATTTTGATTTAATTAGACAATAACTATCGAGATTTTTACATTTGAAATATTTTGAATTAATTACATAATAATTAAAGCCAGTTCAAAGGTTTTACACAAGAAATTCTACATCAGTTTTTAAATTAAAATATTTTGTCTAAATACACAATTACGACATCAGATTTTAACTATTCTGATTTAATTGCATAATTACTAAAGTAGTTTTTAAAGTTAAATATTTTTGACTCAATTACATAATTTGTTTTTACGTTAAAATATTTTGATTTTGAGTGGTTTTCCCTTGTCATTTGTAAAGGAAAAGGGGAGGGTTACAGAGAGAGAGAGAGGGGGGGGGTATGTAAACTCGACACAAACTAGGTAATTTTGGGACTATTTTTGGTTCAATTGTTTTTCAACAATTCGCTTGCGCGTAGAGGTCTTTCTTTAGCAGTGGTAGGAAACCGGAGGGCCCGGAGAAAACCCTCGAGGTTGTGCAGGCGACCCTACCCCTTGTTACCGAGAAATCGAAACGAAGCCTGTTGACTCAATGACAGACCTTAAGCTACAACGCACACGCGCTAACCATTCGACAATCCAACCCCAAGGACAAAGGGAAAGACAAGGAAAGCGAGGACACATGTACACTTTGATGATGGGCACTTACATGTAAACCAACATTGGCATTTGGAATTCGTCTTCATTGGTACATAAAATGGGATGTTAAACCCCATTTCATTTATTACGTAGACTTATATGATATAGTTTGTTGTGCCTGTTATGTTATTGCTCACTATGTAGAGTAATATTGCATAACTTCCTTCTTACTAGCAATGAACAACGGTTACATATGTTAAACACACGTTATTAGGTCATGGCATTGCCGTAGGACTCGGAGCCATCGAGGGTCAGTGAGTAAAATGTTGTCTTGCTAACCTGGAGGTCCCGTGTTCGATCCCTGCGTTGGCTGAGAAAGTTTTATCGTGGATTTTCCAACTGTGCAGGACAGACGATCTGACAAGGGACAGTGTATAGTCGTTTGGATGGGACGAAAAACAGGGGTCCCGTGTACACATTTGACGTGCACGTAGAAAAAAAAACATTGGCAGTTGAAATTCGGTAAAAGTGTAGGCCGTACCACCGCTGTCCGGTCAAAAGTCACCCCATAGTACACTGCATGGCGTATGCCCGTCATCATAGGACGTTAAAACCCATTTCATTTCATTCCGATGGGAGTCAAAGTGGCAGGATTGTCAAAGTCGATCTACATGTATGCGTATTGACCTGGCTCCATAAACAGGAAGTCCTAGCATCCATGTTCTATCTTGGTGTTAGCCGAGAGATAGCCATGGGAGTTATCAGCGCAATGTCGCCGTGGTGTAGAAGGGGGGGGGGGGTGGCATAAAAAGCAAACCTAATTCCATTCATAATCGGTGGAAGCGGACGTTAAATAACGCTATTTCACACATTCATCATTCGTATTGCTCTCACCCTATTACTTACAACTTTGACATCAAAGGTAACGGGAAAAACAGAATGGATAATGTATCACAGGTAGGCATTGATTTTTGTACCCATTTCGCCGATATTCTTCTGTTGAAATTGTATTTTAAACGTAAATGCAAGGGTTCAACTAGTATCAAAGTTGATAATGTTCAATGTTCACAGATTAATGTTAATTGAAAAAAAGAAGACAGGATATACATTGCACATCAGTAAATTCCAATTATCAACATATTCCGGAAGCAATGGCCCGAAAAATCCCTCTCTGGCCATTACTGGATTGACTTCTGATATCTGAGCTTTTGAGGGAGTGTGTCTATTCTTCCCGTTCAATCAAATCTATTCCAAGTACAGCAACACCGCACACATTCGTTAAATCTGAGATTTTCACTAAAACTTGGACAGTGATTTAAGGTATTAAAAACGGCGAAAGTAGTGTTCGTCTCCAAGCAGTATTGTTCACATTGTTTGCCGTTTTGATAGCCTCGTTGATCACGCAATTAGTTTTTCTGCAATATTCTGCTATGCACTGGTTAATTGGGCGTAATAAATTTCGCAAGTCATGACGTAACGTTATGTAAACATATCTGGAGCTCTGCGTAAAGCCAAATTACATTGCTACGCAGTTAGGTATTGGTTGTTAATCGGACTATTGACCAGTGATAATTTGGAACAGAAATTTGCTTTCGTTACAGCAGTGTTTGAGTGGCATTAGGTCTAATCAAACGGAACACCGCGAGGAGTATGATATCAAGGATTATTTCAGTGCATACAGGGGATCTCAATTTCCAGTCTTATCCGATCGAATAGATACGGTTCCAGTTTAGACCCTTCGTCCTGCACAACTGGCAAGGGGAAACCATTCCGGATAATGTCGGAATCGAATACGGGGCCGCCAGGATAGCGAGCCAACGTCGTACTCACTAAGCCACGGCGGCTCCGCATATATAGGTAGATACCACACTTGTAATTATAATGGTTACTAATTAGAAGCAGTGTTAAATACTGCAGAAATTTTAAGGACTCTTTAATATTTCTAGGTTAAAGGCTCAATACCACTCTTGTTGTAACTGAATAATATGTCCCAATCTTTATTCTGGTCAACAAATTGTACTATTTTACAATATTCCAATTAATTGATGATACAAATTTCATCTTAACAAACCTAATTTAAAAAATTGGAAAAATTCAACTAAATCATTTGAAAAGCCTGACGTAAAGCTTTCGAAATGTGACTTGGATTTAAAAATATTTTTGAACCCTCTGGACAAATAAAATAGGATTTAATGGATAATTTACACAACAGGTAGGACACTAACACATCTAGTACTTAGAATAAGGCTTTTTTTTTATTTTCTGGAGCTGTCAAGCCAGCAAGAGTGTTATTGCCCCTTTAAATTATGATTAGTGGGTAAGCTGAAAAATATATCTGATTCATCTTATAGTAATAATAAAATAAAACCAAGTACGAACAATCCAAACCATAAGACAGAATTCGAAGTCCTAAAAAACGTTATAGGCAAAATAGTGTATTCAAGCAAAATAGTGTAATCAACAAATGCCTATATCCATGTGAAGACGGGTTTTATATACAGAAAAATAAAACCCCACGAGCTTTGGAATATACACAGGAATGTATGAAGATTTCTATCAAATCAACGACTTTCTGTAACATGGTACAATTCACTGCAATGATTCACTTAATTGTACGTTAGGGTCTTTAGCAGTGGGAAGAAACCGGAGGACCTGACGAAAACCCACGAGGTGGTGGTGGTGATGGAGAGACATTCCCTGTGAATAGACTCCCCTCCTCCTGCCCCCCCCCCCCACACACACTCCCATCCGTGCCACCGTGTTTCAGGGATAGTTATTTATCTTAACACGGACTATATTAAAACGTAAAACACATGGTTTATTTTACTATAAATACACAATTCTTTGTATAAAATTTGGGTAAAGATTTAAATATAATACTATGATCATTATATACACAATGAATGCCACATTCAAATGGCATAATATGGATTTCAGTACCACTAGATTATATAATCCAGATAATTGGTATTAATTCTTTAATTCTTCCACGGGACCGATACGAAATAGTGGAGAATCATCATCAGGTTGGTTTAGAGCCACTAATGCCTCTCAGAGGCATTGGAAAATCTCCGAACACAATGAACAAAATCAGTCTGTTATAAAAACAAGACGAATGGCTGTTCCTCGTGAAATACAGCATCATGCTTGATGACAGGGAAGTCGGGAGGTTTTTTATATTTGTATTAAAATCTAAGGGAGACAATCCTAAATACCACACCCTTCTATCAACAAAACCCTCGGCCGTAACACCGCAACAGAATAAAAAGTTGCATTATAACTTCAAAAAAATCCAAGAAAACATAAATATCATGAACAAATCAACCCAATACATGACAAAATAACAAAATATAATAGGTAGGTTTGTTTCCATTTTGTTATATAAAATTTGAATGTTAAACATACATAATGCAAGAGCTAAATCTGTCTATTGCAGGTCTTTCTTTAGGCCTGAAATGTTATATAAATTATTAACTAGACATTTATTAACATGCAAAGACCATAATCAACTCTCGATGTCATCTTATGTGTTCGATTTTCATGGGATTTGAATCCGATCTGCTGTTTAACGTCCGTTGATGATTAAACGCAAAAATAGATAATCGAGACTTTGTTAATTATCGTGACAGCGGCAATAATGACAATCGAGGCTATAGTGACTGAACTCTTTAGCATATTCCCTTTACATTATCTAACATTTAACTATTATAGTGAGAACTGCCAGCTCTTTATCCAATCTTCCATAATGTATATTTAAGAGTAGAAACATTTCATTTTACGGCACATGAAAACATTGAAAAATCAACCCAATATTATAATAACAATAAAACATGCTAAACATTAGCAAAAAATGGAAATTCATTTTAAAAAGATGTTGGATAATGATAGATGTTTATTGAGACAGTGATTCGTCAGATTACCTTCCGGCACGGTATCTATCAATGGTGCCGGACGGCGTATAGTTGTTCGGATAGTACAATATACAAAACCACTTGTATACAATTGCGTGAACCATAAAGAACCCTAGTCGTTCGGATGGAATGAAAAACCGAGGTCCCGTGTACACATTGGCGTGCATGTAAAAGATCCCTTGACAGTTGGACTTCGATATAAGAGTAGGCCGTAGAGCCGCTGTCCGACCAAAATTTCCCTCATAGCACACTGTATGACGTATGCCCGCCTTCATTAGCCCAGTTCGGAGCAGAATAGTAAGTATGGCGTTAAACCCCATTTCATTTCATTTTCATTTCATTTCATTTTCATTTCATTTCATTTTCATTTCATTTTCATTTCATTTCGATGTTAAGAGTAGGTCATAGTGTAAAATCTAATGTTGCACAAATTCTAGTCTATGACATAGTCAATCCCCGGTTGTACGTGACAAGGAGTAGGGTCGCCTGTCCAACCTCGTGGGTTTTCTCCCGGTCCTCCGGTTTCCTCCCACTGCTAAAGACCCCTATGCGCAAGCGAATTGTTGAACTATAATTAAACCATATGTTAGTCCCGAAATGACCTAGTTTGTGTCGAGTGGACGTTAAACCACATTTCTCTCTCTCTCTCTCTCTCTCTCTCTCTCTCTCTATGACATAGTCAATTCCGTTTCCTTGATACTAATGATTACAGACTTTCGGTTTAGAATAAGGAGAGGTTTGTTTGTTTATAATATACACACACCCGATCTGATCAACTTCCTCGCGTGGTACTCGATTTAACAGTTGCATGTCACAAAAATTTACTACTATCCACTCGCATTGCTTCAAAAACGATTTGGAAATCTTGAATTGAATTGGCCTCGAACGCTGCCTGACACATTGAAAAGTACATATTCCAGATTCGAATAAACTTATGATCAAATTTAAAGTCCTGTTTTTTGGTAGCACGATTGAATTGTTCCCTCCAAATAGCCAGGGTCCTGGCATAGCTATCCGATATATTGTAAACTTCCGAAATAACAAGACCGTTCCTCGTGGCATGTTGGGAGATAGTTCCCAGCGAAGGGAGACAACCCCCAGGAAAAATATATTGGTTGATGAAATCTGGTTCGCGTTTGTTTTGTTCGTACTGGTCTTCGAATCGCGTTATGGCCTGGATGGCGACCTTTCCATACGTTTTCAGTACACCGGATATTGTCTTAAAGTATAGGTCGTAATTATCAGGACCTATCGCTTCGATCATTTCTATAGACACGACGGCATCAAATTTCAAATGCGCAAACTCCGTTTGGATATCCCGGAAATCAATCTCGTAGATCTTCACTGAATCTTGTAGACCGTGTTTGAGGACAAGCTCTCGACAATATTTAGCTTGTTCTGGTGAGATGGTGATACAGCTCATGAAACATCTGCGTGTTTTGGCAGCTCGCACGGCCATTCCTCCCCATCCGCATCCTATTTCCAAAATATGACCCCCTTCCGGCACGTCAAGCAAATCAAGCAAGCGATCGTACTTCCGTAACTGCGCGGTCTCCAAATCATCCGACGGCTTTAAGAAGATGCCACTCGAGTATGTCATGGTTGAATCGAGGAAAGTCTCGAAGAAGTCATTTCCGAGATCGTAATGCTCAATGATGTTTTGTTTCGAGACGGCCGGGGTATTTTTCAACCGCTGGGTGTATCCGATCCTCGGCCACATGTTGGTGAAGAAGAAGACGAGGGGACGCCATGTAAGGGTTTGTGGAGCAGGGTAGGTATTAATCACCAGATAAAATAACAACAATGGCAGATTGTCAACACGCAAACTTTCATCAATATAGGCTTCTGCCAGACCTATATCTCCTTGTAGCAGACACTTCCAGGCTAAACTAGGATTCCTAACATCAACCAAAACTGTCGGTACTCCAATCTCGCCAAAGAATTCTATGCCATATCCAGGCGTTTGAATGCCGATGCAGCCCTTTTTGATGTTACTAGCCAATAACTGCTTGAGTGCTCCTAACGCTATGTTATCGGACAAAGACTGCAGCATTCTCTTAGAATAGGTATCCTCGACCGATCGGTTGTAAGTGATGACCGATTCGTACATATCAACAGCCCGGTCACCAATTAACTGAGCAACTTCGTAACCGCTTCTGTAACCATCTTCGTGGAAGCCGTAACCTAGATAAGCTCCACAAACATAGAGTCCATTACAGCCTTGTAAGTTTCTGATATCTTTAGCGAGCTGAATATTTTCCAAGCCATAAGCTGGGTGCGCCATAATGATTGGTTTTGCTAGATATTTATCTTGATCGATTTCTATCTCCTTCATGATTTCTTTATGAATAATAGAAACAAAAACATCAAAATGGAAGCCGATTGGTTGTAGAGAATTCTCCCAGTACGTAACCACGCCATGGTTAAAGTTCCAGCTACTCCAATTTAACTTAGATCTTGGCATTAACGATGTATCTTGATGGATGATAACATACTTGTCATCAAAGCGAACGGATGCCATTTTCTTTACTAGCTCGTCCGTGTCTCCTGAAGTAGCCTCGATATGGATATGTTTTACATCCGGGGCGTGAAGAGCTAAAACCACATCATCATATTCATCTTCCGAATCGTTTATCCGCCATTTTAAGTTATCATTTTGTTTCAATGACGCAACTCTTTTCTTTAGATTAACAATAGGCTTACATTTGTGAAGAAAAGCGTTGATGTAACTCTCTGAAGTATGGGTCAGCGTTTTCCATTTGAGATTTCGGAACTCCAGTAGGTGGTGATTCGCCATAAAGGTAAATATGGTGAAGGCATCGAAGTCCTCTGAGTTGTCAGACGTGGCGGACCAGACGCTGGCAGTAAACGGTATTAAATACCCTTGCATGAATTCGTCACAATACTTTCTCTCTCTACAGAATTCTCCTATTGAAACGTGTTTATGCTGCCCAGAATCAACACCCTGAATGTAAGAGCGGGCATCCCGAAAGAACCAGAACAGGGTCCACAAGAATTTCAGCATCTGGATAGGGGCCTGGAGAAAAGCTACAAAGAGCGACCACAGGCCGGATTTGGATCCCCAGGCGAACGATTCGTTCTCAACGGAGAAGGACATATCGGAATCGCAGATGTCCACATCAAGTTCTCGGAAGAACTGCAGCAGCAGTGGATATGTGTTGAGGTTAAAGACCTGGAATCCGACATCGACGGGTCGTGACAGATTAGGGTGATGGAATAATCTAGAATGGCCGCCTAGCTTATCACGGGCTTCAAACATGGTAATGTGACTTCCGGGTAATCCTTTCTTCCATAAGTTATAGGCGGTGGCTATCCCGCTGATACCGCCTCCAATTATAGCAACTTTCTTCATTGTCTACCTTAAAATACAAAAAAAAAGGATTATTTATTGAATTGGTTAACACCCTACTGTTCTGCAGCGGACAGTGGAGCTACGGCCAGCTGTCTCGTCTTGACGACGGAAAAATAACCATTGGCGCAGGTAAAATAAACCATGTCGCAGGTAAAATAGCTCCTGGTAGCACCGGGACAAAGTTGTACAGGGGACCAAAGAAAAACAAAATAATCACATGTTATTTCAAAATAACCAAATTATTGTGTTTACGAGACGTTCAACCATATTACAACCCGTTCAGCGCATAGATATACAACACTATGACTTATTTATTATTTTTTTTTCTTTCAGGAGAAGGTGTGAAATGAGTGGAATGGGAACATGGACTGGACATGGACTAATATTTTTAAGAATAAGAAAAGTTTATGGAAAATCTGTCGTATTGTTGTTGAAAATGGTATGTTATTCCTATATTCTGCAAAATCAGAATGACTGGATATTACAAGCATTAAAGGGTTAAGGTATGGAGGTGGCGAGGATAGGGTAGGGGTATATGAACTAATATACTTTGTAATATTGTGTTTATATACAGGAGACAACGAACACTTATAAATATAGCGATACAATATTTAATTTATGACACCTCGTAAAATACTAAGCAGATGTTAAGTGGGCGATAACAGGGGCGGATCCAGGAATTTTTGCAGGAGGGGGTTTGTCAAGTTCCTGAGAAAATGTATTTCTCCCCCCACCCCTCCCGCATGGTCTCTATCGTCATTTTGGCGTATATATATATATGTATATATATGTATGTATATATATATATATATATATATACATACATATTGAGCTTTTTAAACAGAGAAATTCAACACCTCGTTTGACGTCATTTTTTATTATGAATTAATACAATGACATTGTGATTCAATTTCATGGATGCAAAACATTAATTGTGATAATGTCTATATCATTATCTCGTGCTTTGAGTGCCCATCCTGTCCCACATCTGACGATAAAGGATAAAGCACACGGTCGAGAAACTTTTCTCATAAAAAGTGTTGATTTACAAAAAAAATATATATAGCTAAGCGGGGGGGGGGGAATCCGCCACTGATAAACATAAAGAAACTAATACACGATCGACAGAAATAAAATAAGTTCAGAGGAGTTATTAATCCCGTTTGTTAACGATCTGGCCAGGTTCCAGAATTAGTTCCGAGATGGTGTACGTGCTTGACCGTCTTCATTAGCCCAGTTTGTCTAGCAAAGTAAGACGTTAAAGTTACAATTTCATATTTTCTAAGAAAGTCAAAACATAATTATTTCTATGTCTTTTGGTCAATATGTTGTAAACTCACTATTATACATGTACGATTATAGGTTATCTTTCTCACACTTACAAACCTTCACACTGGAAATAATAACACAATTACCTCCCTTATTTTCCTATTCCCCACTAAGGAATAGCTATCTCAAACGTTTGAATTTGAAGTTGAAAATGATATTTTTGCCAATTTCTCAACTGGCAATAGTGAATTATAGGATTAATAGGATTATTCTTTAAGAAGGTAGGACTGTTTATAGATACCATCTATTTTAGGGCTTTATTTTGATACATTTTAAAAATATAACTTAAAAATATGAAATTTTAACTTTAAACCCCATTACGTTTCTCAATCAATTTGGGTACATCTTAGCCTGACAAATGCACGATCGTGATCAGCGACTGGTATTCTAATCAAATGATCATTAAACCAATATGGTCTCCTTTCAAGTTTATGACACAGAGAGAGAAATGGGGTTTTACGTCCACTCGACACAGACTAGGTCATTTCGGGACTAACATATTATGGTTTCTAATTTTATTTCAATAATTCGCTTGCGCGTAGGGATCTTTAGCAGTGGGAGGAAACCGGAGGACCCGGAGAAAACCCACGAGGTTGGACAGGCAACCCTACTCCTTATCACGTACAACCGGGGATTCGAAACCACGCCAGTTGACTCAATGATAGGCCTCATGATCCAGCGCGCACGTGCTAACCATTCGGTCATCCAAAACCCTTTTTAAAGTTTTTTGTTTGCCGAATGGGTAACCGAGATAAGGAATTGAAATGAAATGAGGTTTAACGTCCTACTATTCGTTACCGACTAGGCTTACGAAGGGAAATTGTACACGGACATTTGCACTACGGCGTACTCTTATATGGAGTTCCAAGTGTCAAAGGTTAACTCCCTCATTGTCAGTGATGCAGGACGGAGGGCAACTGTCAAGTCGTTCGGATGGGACGAAAAAACAAGATCCCGTGTACACATTGGCGTGCTCGTAAAAGATCCCTTGACAGTTGGAATTCGATATAAGAGTAGACCGTAGCGCCTCTGTCCGGGCAAAATTTCCCTCATAGCACACTATGTGGCGTATGCCTGTCTTCATTAGCCCAGTTTGGTAGGACGTTAAACCCCATTTCATTTCATTTTGTCAAGGGTTGAGTTACATGTACCTCAATGTGTACACGGGACCTCAGTTTTTCGTCCCATCCGAACTACTATACGTTAGCCCTTTATAGGCCCTCCGTCCTGCACAACTAACAAGGGGGATACCACGCCAGATAATCCAGATAAACATTCTAGGCTGACACCGGATCTCCGGGTTAATGAGAAAACGCCCTACTCACCGAGTCACCGTGACTCCCACGGAGATATGGCGTGTATTGTACGCTTGAATTCGCATACATACCATTGTTAACGTCATGCTGTCTGGCGCTTGGGAATACAATGCATAGGTCTTCAAGCGCGTATTCGGTATTTCTTATTCTGGAGGGTTGAGTGTCGTTCAATAATATAATTATTAGCGTGCGCTAAGACCATCGTGGTTTGTGTGACTCGCACTTGAACAGTTTTTTGTGTGAGCCAAAATCGTGTCCCATTTCCCTCATAGCACACTGTGTGGCGTATGCCCGTCTTCATTAGCCCAGTTTAAGAGCAGAAAAGTAGGACGTTAAACCCCATTTCATTTCATTTCATTTTCATATTATGTTAGTCCCGAAATAACCCAGTTTGTGTCGAGTAGACGTTAAACCGCATTTCTCTCTAACGTGAAAAAGGAAATTAAGAATTCCAGTAGGTTAGTCTTAAAATACGACTGAGTCAGGTGTAGACGAGACGCCATATTACATTTTTTTATTCCCTGCCCATACAGAAAGCTGCACGTTTTGTGCAACGTTTTGCAAAAAATCATTTTATATCGTCTGCTTGTCAACACACATTGTTACCGAGCACAACTCCAACTAACTAGTGGACCGTGAAAATTCCTTCATATATATCTAACAAGATTTATTAGTATATAGAAACTAAATTAATAAATTTATTAAATTATCAGAATAACCTACCTCAAGTTCCTGCACTGTATTGTAGACCTTGCCTTAATAATTATTCTCAGAAAATAAAATACTGGCAAATGTTATGAAAGCTTGTTAAAACCGGTGTGTGTTTTATAACCCACTCGTGTGACACATGGACACAGATCACCAAATGTTCCTACGTCACGCCGAAACAAGGGCCAAAGCTATTTTTAGTCTTCCTCTCCCTTTTCCTTTTCCCCCCTTTTGCATGGCGATTTTTATTGACTTTTTGGTGTCGAATTGAGGAAAAGGGTTTGAAAATACATTTTCTGCCAGGTTTTGGTGAATATTCATAATTTTGATGAGGAAGGATACAAGAGTTGAGAGGTTGGTTACGTTGAAATGTAGGGCCTGAAATTGCATGTTTACTTGTCTCTACTTCCAGCTTGTGTATCTCAAGTTTTTCATGAAGAACCTCATACGTGCTTTTGGGCAAGTGGTTGCCACATGTTGCTCCATCTGTGGTAGAAAGCGTTCTACCCAACGAAAATTTGGGAAAAAGTTAGAGCCGGTCTAAGATACGAGAATTAACATTGGAGTCAATGGGGAAATCTTTAGTGATCTGTGTCCACATGGGCGAGCCAATCGCTACACGTTGCAGACAAACTTTCATCGAATGAATGAACACTGAGAATAAATATAGCGCACCACATATACTACCATGCATGAACCAATACTTACATAAATATATAAGTTCGCTATGTAGGATTCACGCTTATATAACGATCAAAATCTTAATTAATTCTAGTGTATTCATTTACACTGATAAAATAATCTACAATTTATGTAAGCCGGAGCGGAAGTCAGGAGAGAAGGGGCTTGCACGGGTGAGTGATCGCTGTATCAACTATGAAACTCTATACAATTAGTGATTAGTCATTTAAAAAGAGGAAATATCGTCTGTCGAAAGGGAGTTGATGTCGGGCGTGAACAGAGTTGGATAGGTAAGTCAATATCATAAAGAAATTTATTGTTACGCTTCGTGTGTAATGGTATACAACAATCTCCACCGCCGTGCTGTTCATAGTAAACAATGTATATTATAGATAGATACACATAGCAAATATTTACACCCAAATAATCTCATATTAATCATATTAAACATACATTATGCAAGAGCTAAATCTGCCTATTGTGGGTCTTTCTTTAGGCCTGAAATGTTATCTAAATTATTAATCAGACATTAAACATACATTATGCAAGAGCTAAATCGGCCTATTGCGGGTCTTTCTTTAGGCCTGAAATGTTATCTAAATTATTAATTAGACACTAATGAACAAAACAAGACCATAATCAACCCTCGATAGCATTGCTAGTCTGCGATATTTACTGGATTAGAACTCGGTCTGCTGCTTCTGATTAAATCAAAAAATGGATAATCGAGACTATGTTTTTTATCCTACCGAATTTCAATCGCTTAATTCTCGGTTACCGTTACAGGTTTATAAAAGCCTATAATATCGTATAATGGTACATAATGCAGAGACTGAACATAATATGTTTTATCATAAAGTAGTTGAGTTGCCCGGCGTTGAACGGACGAAATATAAATCCGTCGAGTTTATCCCTATTTCTCTAAAATCCGTATCAAAGCAATAATCTTTAATTATCATCACTAAATATGGCACCAAATAACAAAGTGCTCTCGTTAATTTATGTTCAAAAGTGTTTATTATTTGATTTCCTGTTGAGAACTAATAAGTTTGTCTTTTGTATGGCTATATGTAGCTAGATGACAATTTCATTGTTAATTTAATAAAGGCAAAATTATCATTTAGGTTAAATCACCCCTTGTCACATTAAATTTGTTTCGAAGACTCGTGTTCGTTTATCAGTAAATGGGCACTTCAGTTGAGCTATAGAATGTCCACATATAGTACTTGATCTGTGCACAGAAATTTGATGAGTATTGTTCATTGACCCTTTGACCCCGTGGACTTTAGATTTGGATATTCATTCATTGGGCGTTTTTGTGAACCGATTAGATTAGACCGATTAGCTATTATACGCATTTGTGAACCAAGTTGATTATGCTAATCGTTACATTTGTGAGACGATTTAACTCAACTGATTAGGCAAATCGACCTAATCGTACCAGGGGGTGTTTATGCGATTAGATTTGACGTTTTCAAAATGGCGGAATGTTCGACATCGAAAGTAATTTTTAATGCTTATTGTTGTTTTTCTCCATAAAAAAATGTTTTTTTTAAAACGCATTTGATGTGTTTAAAGTACCTAAGTCTCTAACTCAATATCGTCCAAAATCTTCAACATTGAAAACACGATTTATTTGTCAATCGTGTACCATAATGCGCTTCAGCCCTAGTTGTATCAAGAGACTCGAGGGACGAGGCTAGACACATTGCACCAAATCAAACGGCGTATGTAAACTGGAATAACCAGACGCTAGAAATTTGCACTCGCTTGAGACTGCTGGCTTATTTCGCCGAACATAACGGATTTGAAATTGGAGTAAAAACGGAAACCATTGAATGTAAATCAGTTTATATACATTCATATTACAGTATTATATGCATTGCGACCCACTTTTGTCAATTTCTAGGTCCCAAATGTTAGCGATTTAGCTCCTTTAATGTTAAATTTTTAGTCCACAAAATTGTTAGATCAACTCTGGCTCTAAGCAATTTTAGGCCCTCTGGGTGCCAGCAGTGTCACTGTAATCTGTAGGTAACTTGGACTACACGTGAAACACACGCCCCCCTCGTCATGTTAGCAGAGACAATTTTTTTTCTGATCGGTGTCCGTGGTGGCAGCCATCTTACCAAATCGTAATTATCAAATTTCACATTTGTGGACCATAGCTAATCAAATCGAAATCATACCAAATCGTACTAGCAAATCAAAACCTAATCTAATCGACTCACAAAAACGCCTATTGTGTAGATGTATTGTCAGTTCGCATTGACCACATAGTAAACAACCAGAGCTGCCGACAACCAGTATCGCAGCGCAATTTGCGAAACATATTTTGTCTGTTGCTAATCAAAAATTAAAATCTAACGTTTTTGATTCGCAGTAACTGCGAATCATTAATATGCCTGTCATTTTGGATATTGACACAAAGATTTATCCACATTTCTCAACACTTTCAACGTGTATAAAATATCAAATAAATTTTATAAACAAAACGGAATTCTCCGTGTGACATTTTCTTCTCGAACTACCCAGACTCAATTCATGATACTATATAATACAGGGACATAACTCTATGAATCGGGACTATTAAACCGGAAATAGGGAATCAAGTAGTACCACTCACGTTGCGAGACATGTCAATTTCGAGTAATTATATCAGTATTCAATTTGAAAAAAAATAAATTCAGTGTATCCCCCACGTATTGTAAATAAAATATAAAAAATAAGTACGTGTAAACATATTGTAAAGTGAGAAATCAAAGTAAGAATTCCCGTAAACTATTATTGTTTATATCGCGTGCGTCTAGTTAATCGAGATTATTCGTAAAATACCGCGTGCTTCCGATTGAACAAAAATAATAACACACGATAAAAAGCAGACGAAATTGTTTTCTAACGAAAAAATAAGAAGCCACTGCCAAGAATTGGCTTCAGACATAAGGCCTAACAAAAGTCTACGTTCATTCAGAAATGTTCACAGCTAGCTGTGGAAGTGCTAAAATTCTAAAAAATCTTAAGAATGAAATCTAATCATTTGCTATCAATTAAAATTAAAATAATCTTGTTATTTAGGTGTTTTATGTTGATTTGAAACTGAAAAACTGCTAATCAAATTTGGCAAAATTGGACTTTTTGATTAGCAGTGCTGCTAATCATCTGTGAAAAATTACCGACAGCCCTGTAAACAACGATAAGGTATGCACAACTGTAGATAAGTTCGTATTCACGATGAAAACACGCCGATAGCAGCACATCCGTGATCATTTCAACATTTTGGGGAATGAAATGGGATTCAATGTCTTGCTTTTCTGCATCAAACGGCTTAATGGAAACTGGCCTACAGAGGCCTTGGTGGGCAGTTTGTCCGGACAGTGGCGTTTCCGAACACTCTTCATCGAATACCAAATGTCAGGGGTTCTTTTGGGTGCACTTCAACTTTTGGGTGCATTTAGTAAACTGGCGTGGTTTCGAATCCCCGGTTGTACGTGACAAGGAGTAGGGTCGCCTGTCCAACCTCGTGGGTTTTGTCCTGGTCCCCCGGTTTCCTCCCACTGCTAAAGACACCTACGCGCAAGCAAATTATTGAAATCAAATTGAACCATGTGTTAGTCCCGAAATTACCTAGTTTGTGTCGAGCGGACGTTAAACCCCATTTCTCCCTCTCTCTCCTTTCAAGATGAAGATTTCCAAGCAAGTTTACGTGAAGCATGCGTATTCCTTGTTTGAATTATGCACAGTGTCCATTGTCGGCTTTTGCGGGATCTATATTTTTTAAAATGCTGTTTTTATTTTACAGTTTACATGGCGATATAATGACGTCGATGGAAGAAGGAGTATTTTCAGGAAGGGCTTACCACACCCGACTTGTACCACATCCACACAGGTTTACAGTTCCAATATCACTGGAACTGAAGCGATGGAACGGAGATGATATCCCGACAGCAGCATTCGACAAAGAGCCAGATGAAATATGGAGAATGTCGACCTTGAAATACCTTGGATACGATTACAGTCCGATTCTGTACTACTTTTTATTTTCAAAGGAATCGAAGTCTTTCACGCATGTCTATATTAATACGCCTAGCCTGGACGGCGCATTACAGTGTTACGATTTTCCTTTAGTCCAAAATAAAGGGAAGACAGAACACATTGAGAAAACGGGTGACATTTCACCCCTAGGCGTAAAGATAACCGACGGATCCCATTCCTATAAGTTTGTGTTTGAATCCGATTTCTTGGACTACTTTTTCGTTCGCATTGACACGTTTGTGAACAAAAGGGCGCATATGAAGTGTGTAATGAAAGTTCAAAGACAAGTCGCCCCAAGTTTGAGAAACTATTTAAACGGGTCGAGCTGGTTATTTAAGTTGAGGACATTATTTATTGCGTTTATCTTATATTTTAGGGGCTTGTTTATAGATAGGGGCTGGATTAATGAAGGCATGCCAATGAAAAAGTTGT